TAGGTTGTTTTTTTTTTTTTTTTTTTTAATGCAGGCACATGTATCCATTAAAGGTCCACTCAAGATCACAGGAAGTGCCACCATTTTAAGGGAGTGGAGACCCACTTTCCCTGCCAGACCCTGCCCTTCTCTTCTGATGAGTATAAGAAGTCATATAGGACTGGAGTGTGACTCAGTAGTAGAGTGCTCACCTTGCATGTGTGAAGCCCTGGGTTTGATCCCCAGCACCACATAAAAATAACTAAATTAAATAAAGGTATCATGTCCATCTACAACTAAAAAAAAATTTTTTTAAGTCATATAAAAAAAAAAGAATAATCATTTTTTTTTTTTTTTTTTTGGTACCAGTGATTAAACCCAGGGTTACTTAACCACTAAGTCACATCCCTAGCCCTTTTTTACATTTTATTTAGAATTAGAAGCAAGGTCTCACTGAGTTGCTTAGGGCATCACGAAGTTGCTGAGGCTGGCTTTGAACTTGCAATCCTCCTGCCTCCACCTCTCTAGCCACTGGGATTACAGGTGTACGCCACTGCACCCTGCTTTCCTTTCTTTCTTTCTTACTGGGGATTGGACCCAGGGCCTCATGCATGCTAGGCAAGGAATATTGTTATTTCAATATTTGTCTACCCCAGGAGCACAGCAGGCCTCTACTGGAATGTGGGCCAGGGTAGGAATAAGGGGAGCTCTTTTCCTACTCACCTCAAAGTCCTTTCTTCCTACCCAGGGTTTGGCCCTGTCTTTACAACCAGTGATCCTCACAGCTTCTGGCAGCGACTAAATGAGATCCACGCCTTGGGGGGTGGAGATGAGCCTGAGATGTGCCTATCTGCCCTGGAGGTCTGACCCTTCCCTTTCTCTTCCCCTTCCCACTTGTCCTGCCTTTTCCAGACCCTGCCACCAGAGGGAGATAGAGCTAGAATCCTCCCCAGTCTCTTCCACTGGACCCCTTCAGAACCTAGCTATGCTAGCCTCACTCCAAGGTTCCAGGGTCATATTCCTTTCTACTCTGTCCTCCCTGGCTCTGTCAACTCCCTGCTGCTGCAATTCTTAACACTAGCCCTTTTCCTCCCTGGCAGCTAGCCCTGCTGCACACACCTCCACTTTCAGACATCTTTGTCTTCACTGATGCCTCCCCCAAGGATGCCTTTCTCACCAACCGGGTGGAATCCCTGAGTCAGGAGCGTCGGTGCAGGGTGAGCACAGCTGGTGGGAGACCCAGTGATAGCCACCCAAGAATAGAGAGACCCTATGACAATAACCTCATAACAACAGTGACACAACACTATGGTGGTCAAACTAGCCACACCTTTAGCAATAGTCCTATCCTTAATACTGCTGAATTCATATTTGAACCAGCACAGTAAAGTATTTAAAGAACTGGAAAACTAGTTGCTAAAATTCCACCATGAAACGTGGTGGTTACAAAGGGGCAGCCAACTATTGAGGGTCAGAGGGTTGCATCATTAGGAGACTGGAAGCAGCTGGAGTATAGACAGAAAGATTTTATCACTAATCATCAATCTGGAGAAATTCTGAGCAGAAAGGATCCTTATTTATAATACCAGATGGCACTTGGACACCCCAAGCATTGGACTGTCTTCTGGCCACAGGTGACATTCCTGGTGACTGAAGACCCATCAAGGGTTCAGGGTCGAGCTCGGCGTGAGGTCCTATCCCCTGTGCGTTTTGAGCCATATGAAGCAGTGGCCCTGGCCTCAGGAGGAGAGGTGATCTTCACCAAAGACCAGCACATTCGGGACGTGGCAGCCATTGTTGGGGAGAGCATGGCTGCTCTGGTAAGTAGATGCCAGAGGGCCTGGTGCCCTCTATTCTGGGCTGAGAAGTGTGGTGCTGCTTCTCACTTAAACTTTGTTGCCATTCATTCAGAAGTGTGGACAAGGAAGTTTCTTTCCTTCTGAGATCCATGGCTGTCTTTTTTCCACATTGCCTTTTCAGATTAGTAAACCTCCCCTTCCATATGGCTTCCAGTGCCTCAGGGCTGTCACAGAAAGTCCTTCCATCTTTTTTTTTTTTTTTTTTTTTGGTGGTGCTAGAGATTGAACCCAGGGCCTTGTGCATGTGCACTCTACCAACTGAGCTATATTCCCAGCCCAGTCCTTCTTCCATATTTTAAGGGTAAACAAGTAGTGACTGCCTCATTCTGAACTCTCACCTCCAGCTTTGTTGTTGAACATAATAACTGCCCCTCATTAGTATTCCTTCTCCTTGTGTGACTTGGTGTCTTTCTGTCTCTGCCTTTCTCTTTTGTTCCTACTCATTCCATGCCTTACTTTCTCCCCTACATTTTGGTCCTGTCCATTCCTCCAAGGTGACTCTTCCTCTGGAACCGCCTGTCATAGTGCCTGGCAAGCCACTTGTGTTCATTGTTGATGGGCTGCTCCAGAAGGTCACAGTCCGGATGCATGGGGAGATCAGCAGCTTCTGGATCAAGAACCCTGCTGGTACCTCTGTGTGTGGTTCAAGGCAGAGAGAACAATGTAGATGGAGAATGGAGAACTAGGGGGGATGTGCTAAATACAGGGCTTGTTTCATATGACAATCTATTATCCCCATCCCAGGAATATTCCAGAGCCAGGAAGAAGGTATGGGTCCTTTGGGTCATACTCACCGCTTTGGGCAGTTCTGGATGGTGACCATGACTGACCCCCCACAGGCAGGGACTTGGGAGATCCAGGTCACAGCTGAGGGCACCCCCCGGGTAAGAGTGCAAGGTAAGGAGGGAGATGTTCTTGGGAAGGGAAGGGAAGTTCTCTCAGGGCTCAGAGAACAATCTGAGGCACATTCCTCTCAGGAACCTCTCTGACTGCCTTCACCCTCCCCCAGCCCAGACCTCCCTGGACTTCCTCTTTCACTTTGGTATTCCCATGGAGGATGGACCCCACCCTGGCCTTTACCCTCTGACTCAGCCCGTTGCAGGTACATCTATTCCCTGTCTACCCCCAACTCAAGTACATTATGTGTGTAAATGTATGTGTATGTATGTGTAAGCATGTATACTTATATAAATATACATACATGTGTACACAGACATACACAGACATACATGGACACATTATATACACATTTTTATTGAGTAAAGAGCCATAACTAAGTGTACAGCTTTGTGGATTCTGTATAATACACCATGTGACCTCCCCTTCTTTCCCTTCCTGTCTCAGGTCTCCAGACCCAGCTGCTGGTAGAAGTGACAGGGCTGGGTTCGAGAGGCAACCCTGGGGATTCTCCCCCACATTTCTCTCATGTCATCCTCAGAAGGGTTCCAGAGGGCACCAAGCTGGGTCAGGTGCCCTTGGAGCCCTTGGGACCCCCAGAGCGAGGTCTCCTCACAGCTTCACTGCCACCTACATTGCTGTCCACCCCCGGACCCTTCTCCCTGGAGCTGATTGGCCAGGATGGAGGTGGGCAGGGCCTGCACCGGATTGCCCCCCAGCCTTGCACTGTGGCCCCTGTGCTTCTGGAGGTGAGACCTCAGGGGAAGGTCCCGGCTTAGGTTGGTGAGAACTTACGGGCTTCTCCCCTGACTGGCCTCTCTCTGTAGCTCAGTGGTCCCCCAGGTTTCTTGGCCCCAGGCAGCAAGGCCCTGCTCACCCTCCGCATCACCAGCTTCTCAGTCCCTCAGGATCTTGATATTAGGATATCTGTCAACCCCAGCTTTGCATTCACCTCCAACCTCTCAAGGTGAGTCCTCTGAACCCTCCTGCTGGGTTCTGGCCCCACCTGTTGGTTCTAGGGGTGTGGCCCCACGCTCTTCATTCCAAACCCTGCCCCTGAGCCCTTCCCATTAGCCCTGAGAGTTCCCCATCCTCTTTCCTGCTCTTGGCTCACACCTAGACTCTCAGCCATTGGGAGCTTTCCTTGGGGCTTTAAGCCCCATGTTCCTAACCACTCTCAAGGGCTCATCTGGGGCTGAATGAATCCACCTGGGGGTGCCTGTGGCTGGAAGTCCCAGACTCAGCAGCCCTGGACTCCATGGTGATGGTGACTGTGACTGCCTTGGGTCGAGAAGTCAGCCTAATGCCTGCGACCCATGCCTTCCTCCGGCTCCTGGTACTGGCTCAGACCCCGCAGGTGAGGTGCTTTCACCTTCTATCTGAGGAGAAGCAGGGCAAGAGGAGGGCAGTATAGTTTTAATTTGGACAAAGCTCTAGCACACCTGACCTTCCCTTCCTCTCCTCTCAGGACCAGCTCTCTGCCTCATCTGGGCCTGTTGTCACCACCACCACTCCTGTTTTTCGTTCCTCCACTCTGGTGACTCAGGGAAGGGCTAGGGGAGGGAAGGCAGGCAGACCCTGGTGGGGTACTGTGGGAGGTGTACTACTCCTGCTAACCCTGGCCTCCTGGTGACAAAACAGCACCTAGAGGAATGAGTCTCTAGCTTTTCAACCTGCCCCACTGGTGAAACCATGAGATAGGCCTCAGGACTTTATTTCTCCCAGCTGGATGGGTGTTTTCTTTCTCTGGCCCTTGTCCCTTCTCTTTCTTTTGCACTGTTGGGGACTGAACTCATGGCCTCAGGCATGCTAGGCAAATGCTCTACCACTGAGCCCCAGCCCTTTCTATTTTTTATTTTGACAGGGTCTTGCTAAGTTGCCCAGGCTGGCCTCAAACTTGTGATCCTACTACATCAGCCTCCTAAGTAGCTAGGATTACAAGCATGGGCCACTGCATCAGGTTCCTTTTCTTAAACATCATGTTTTCAGTGGTTAGAGCACTTGCTTAGCATGGTCAAGGCCCTGGGTTCCATACCTAGCACTCCAAAAACAAAAAACACCAAGATTGGGATAGAAGGCAGTGGATTTCCTGGCAATGCACTTTCTATAACCCTTGTGGGAATGAAACCAAAGATATATATATATACATACATATATTTTTTTTAATTTTTTTTTGAGAAAGTTGATCTCTATTTCTCTGTAGCATCTAGAGCATTAACTAGTCATGCTCTCCCAGGCTCAGGTAGATAGATTTGTGGGGAGGAGACTAGTTTTGGAAGGAAGTAAGTGCCAGGAAGCATTATTTATAGAGTTGTTTTTATTTTAAACTCTGGAGCAGCTTCTATTTTATTTTTTCTATTCAAAACTGAAGGATGGTTTCAATGAACATGTCTTTTCCCCTAAGGGATTTCAAAGAAAGATCATTTTTGCATATCATATATAGAGAGTGAGGGCATGAGACATCAAGAAAATGAAATGGAAATTTTTAGGAGTAGAGGATAAAATTATACCAAGGTATATGAACTTTGTTGACCCAAGAACTGCAATCGAGTTAAGACAGAATGAGGAGAGGAGGCTGTTGAGTTAAGACAGAATAAGGAGAGAAGGTTCTGACTCAACCTGCTCCTTCACTAGATTGAGAAGGGTTTACACAAGGGTAGGGCCTCTCTGCCCCTGGAGACAGCTCAGCTGAGCCATCTCCTCTTGAGACTGGATGTTTCCTTTCTGCTGCTTTGATAACTCCTGGAGAAGAAGAGAAAAATAGACTGAGCATCTGAATGTTCCCTACCCCATGGGGCCAGAGCTTCTGGGGAAAGACCCCCCAATACCTGTTGCTGCCACAAGTTCTGCTTCCACGGCTCTTCCTTCCAGTTCTGGGTGGTGCAGGAACTGGCCTTGTTCAATGGATGTGGGGAGAACTGGTGGTGGGATTCACTGTGAATTCCGTTAAACGAGATACTGACCCCAACAGTATCCCTCTCTCTCCCATTTCCAAAAGTCTAAACTAAAAACAATAAACTCACCTTTCCTTGAATCAGATTCTGCAAACAGATGTTCACTTTTTGAATTTGGGCTAACTGGGGGCCGCCAGGCTCTGAGTGTAAATCTGTTAGAAAATTCTGAAGGAGGAGTTGGAGGCTGACAACATGCTGTCACTCGTATGTCATCACAGGCCACTCCTTTCCTCATATGGATCCCCTCATCTCGGTATCCTTCCAAGCAGTTGGAAAAATCCAGTACTCTCCATCTCTTTGACAATGCAATCCCCATCCCCCTCAAATAATATAATCCCCCTTTCCCCTGTTCTTTATGGATCTTCCCTATCCATCCCTACCCTATTGGAATAACTGAGGCCACTCCCCCACTCCATGGAGTGATCCAAATCATGTCCCTCTGAATGGAATGCAGACCAACCTCCTCCAGCACTAACAATGAACAGGACCTAACACTTGGTGGCATCCTGTCATTCCAATGTTGCCTCCAATTCATGATCCCTACGCATTAACTCTCCCCTTTCCAGAGTGGTCTCAGACCATGTCCACATACTTCCTGCTCCTTCCTCCCCGTCTCTACCGCACGGGGCAGTCCCTACCTCACCAAGGGCTCCCAGATGCAGCTGCTGTTGCTGTGCCTCCCTCAGATGGTCTTCAAACCAGGCCCGGCCATGTTCCAGCAGCTCCAGGCCCTGCCACAGGGCATCCTGCTCTCTCTCCAGAGCCTGCATCCTCTGCAGCTGGGTCACACAAGAAGCAGAGGCTAACTTGCCCTACAGCAGGGCTGTGGCCATGGCCCATTGCATAACCCCTGGCTGGGTTCACTGGTTACTGAATGTAAGCCCAGACCATCCACTGAGGACCTAGAGGTCAAGGGGAAAAGACCTTACTTCTGTGGGTCCCTGGAGTTGAGTAGAAATATAAAGGACAGATCTGAGGAAAGGGATCTCTTGTTGGGCTAGTACTTACCCAAAGAAAAAAGCTCTGGGCCCCGGGGTCTTCTCGGCTTGTTCCCAGTGGCAGCAGCAGAACTGTGTAGGGAGCCTGTGCCAGGGGCTGCCCACCAGAACCCTGGCTCCCCATGGCTCTGAGGTGAGGAAGGTGCAGCCACTCCCTCTGCTGTGGCCTGAGCTGGTCCCTCCCCTCAACCCCTCCCTCACACCCATTCTGCCTCTCTGGCCCCTTTCTGTGGTGTCTAAGGCTGAGGTGTTCATAGATAAGGGGGAAAACCATCTCTCTTGGACCCCTCTTTCATTTCTTTATTCTATTTTCACAGGGCCTTTCTTAAGTAGCTTTTTCTCAAGAAGTCTCCTGGGGAAGAATCTGAGGGTCTTCCCATAGCAGTGTCAATGTACTTTTAGTGAGGTAGGGCAGGTTCCTCTGTGGAATTCTGCTTGGTGCTTCATCTCTGTCCTATTCTCCTGTTCTGTTTTGGATTGCCTAAGGAAACAATAACATTATCCAAAATAAACTTTATTCCTAACATGAAACAAAATTTCTATGGAAATTGAGAACTCTGGGTCTAAAGAAGATAAGAAAACCAAAAAGGCATTGCAGCCCCTGGGTCTCAGGTAGTTGGGGAGGGCAGAGGAAGAACTCAGAGGATGGTGGTGGCAGCAGGCAACACTTCCTGACTCATGAAAATGTCCAAGTCCAGGCTGGGATCTTCCAAATCCAGTTTCAGAAACTTGTCCACTAATGTCTGGCAACTGAAGTGGGGGAGAGAATGGTGAGATTTATGGAAGAACAGTTAACTGAGTCCTTGAACAGAGGGAAAAGGCTGTGGCACAAGAAACCCATGACCTTGAAGATTTAGGAGTTTGAGGAAGAAGGAATGAGTCCTTGAAGGGCACAGTACTGAAAGAAGGCTTCCGAGGCTCTGTGAAGGGGAGAGGAGCTGTAGGAGAAGGCATGAAGAGACCAGGCCGAACACTCACTTTTGCATTTGGTTCTCCTTTAACAACTCCTTCACAGGCTTGATAGGTTTTCCACTGCGGATCAAGTCTGAGACCTAGGGACAGGAAGGAAGGTGGAAGGGGTGGGGAAGAGGAAATTAGGATCAGAAATCCTGTGGGCCCAGGAACCCAGGTGTCCAAGAGGAATAGGAACCCAGGTGTCCAAGAGGAAGGGACCCCTGAGGCAGAGGTAGTTGGATGCCTGGATCTCTTCACCTCTTTGCCACGAGCAATGAGTTTTTCAGGAAGCCCTGCCTGGGCAGCCGTGTGGGAGGCATAGCTGGCATTGGCAACTCCTCCGCAAACCTGATAGAAGAAGACAAGGTCGTTCCCATCCTCACAGGTCTCCATGGTCTTAAAGAGAATAGAAGGGGGAAGCACATATCATTAATCCTGGCTTCCTACCCTGAAACCCTTGGCCAGTCCCTGTGGGAACTAATAAGAAGGGGAGTACTGGAGCCCCCACTCTAATGGAAGAGCCAGTCTCACTTCTGGGAAACACTCAAGGGAGCCCATAGGAACTATATTGATTTCCTCACCAAATACTGCACCAGGGGCCCTTGTGGCAACAGCTGTAGTTGAACAAGACTCAGAAAGTTGGTGGCCACAAAGATGTGGGGGCACATGGGTCCAAGCACCAGCCAGTGTCGGAGCACAGCAGCCAAAAGTGCAAGCCCATCCACCTGCAGAGGGAGGTGAGAGGATGTGAAACCCACCTTCCCCTCTGCTTGTGCCCTGGCCTTTCCCTCTCCCATCCTTTCTTTCTTTTCTGCCCACACATCCCTATTCTTTCCCCTCCATTTCCCCTCCTTAGTTCCTCATCAGTTTCTCCCCTCACCGTGTTGGTTCCCTTTCCGAATTCATCAATAAGGACCAGAGATCGCTCAGTGGCATTATTCACTGCTTTCGCCACCTGCTGGACAGGAGGTGGACAAGGAAAGTTTCATTAGCATTTGAAGCCTATTACTTACTAACCCTAGTCAGCCTGTGAAAGAGTTGTTTATATGTATCCACCCTACTGCACTACAAGTTCTGTCATGGTGAAATGCATGTTTAGTTCATCCTTTCATTGTCAAATGACTCACACAAAGCAAAGGTTCAATAAATGTTCATAGTGTTGTTTCTGACCTGGGTGCTCCCTGCCCCAAGTATTAAGGACATGCAACAGAAGGAATGCTTTCCTCAGATCAAATTCCTTCCCCATTATCCCTTTCCCTGATCCCACCTCCCTTTACTCCCTTTGACCTGGTTGAGGTCGATCATGAAGGTGGAGAGGCCAAGGGAGATGGATTCACAGCTATGAATTCGGGTGAAGATGGCATCTACTGCCCCAATTTCAGCCTCCTCTGCTGGTACAAAGCTGCCCACCAGGGCCATGAACGTGATCAAACCTACCTGAATAGGGGAGGAGACAGGATGTGGAGCCTCGTAGTGTGGGCTGAATAAAAAGCAAGGCTCAACTGAAGGCATGAATGATAGATCAAAGAAAGATGGACAAATGTAATAGAAGAAAAAATGTATAGAACACACTGTCCAGAATCAGCAAAGAGGTATGGGGAGTGGGTAGAGGCATACTTAGGAATGGCATGTACCTAGGTAGAGGGGAGTGAAGGAAGGTTAGGCCATGGAAATATCCATTAGAATATAGCTGTTCCTTAGCTAGAAAATGAGAACATGGAAGTAGAAGAGCAGAGAACCTCAGTTAGTTGGCAGGTGGGGGTGAAAAAGATATAGAAGATATCCAAGGCCCAGGTTGTAGGGCTCCTTCTCACCTGTTTAAGGTATATGCTCTTTCCTGAGGAATTGGGTCCAGTGACGACTTTGACCCTGCCTTTGTCCCCACCACATTCTACAGAATTGGGCACAAAGGTTCGGGCACATAGTTCCATCAGAGGATGTCTGTAGTGGGTGGAGAGGTACCTTACATGGTCCATGGATCCAGACAAATGAACCCTCCAGAAGATGAGGCCTTTGCACACCTTTTATCTATGCCTCCAACCCCCTCTCCTCTCACCTGCCATTATGGATTCGTACCCCATGGAGCTGGGGGGAATAATGGGGCCTTGAGTAGCCATAGTCCCGGGCAGCACTGGCAAGAGCCAGCAGGGCGTCCAGGCGGGAGGCAAGGTCCAATACTCGGGTCAAGACAGCTGCCCTCGCCAGCACCTGGCACTGCAGCTGGTGCATCAATAGGGTCTCCTGGTCTGGGAGTGGGTGAGGAAGGGAGCCAGGGGTCACTTCTAGGAGAAAGTGAAGGAGAGAGGCCCACAGAGGGTCCCGAAAGCAGGCATATAAATTCAGTCTGAGACTCCCAGAGACATTCAGAGAGGAATATGTAGAGTCAGAGTGAAAGAGAGGCTAAGAGCAGAAAGAAAAGGGCCTATTGGAAGCATTACGAAACTCCAGCTTCTTGGTTTCCTCACCCCGGATCTCACAGTGCAGGTCCCCAAGCAATGCATCCAGCTCCTTGGTTCGAGCACTGCGATAGTGCAGCTTCTCCTCTGAGAGAAACTGGGTACAAGGGTTAGAGCTGTGAGCTGTGCATCTCTTGGTCCTCCTCTCCTCTCCCACTTTTCTAGCTGTACCTACAGTGTTCTGACTTCTCTCTCCTTCATGTCATAACTGGTAGAGCTCAAAGTAAAACTACAAAGAAGAAGCCGGCACAATGGAGCACATATTGCTATAATCCTAGCAATTTTGGAGGCTGAGGCAGGAGTATAACAAATTTGAAGCCAGCCTGGGGAACTTACTGAGACCCTGTCTCAAACCAGAAAATAAAAAGGGGTAGGGATATAGCTCAATGGTATAGTATCCCTGGGTCCAACCCCCAAACCCCAGTACCAAAAAGAAAGGAAGGCAGGCAAAAACAAAAAACAAAAACACCACTACAGAGGAGAAATCTCATATTGGGCTGTGCTGATGGGGCAAAGCCCTCACCTAGCTGCTGCATTTTACACCTCCTACAGAAGTTAAGGGTCTTACCATGAAATCCAGTCCCTCAATTTCAAAGTCACCAGCCTCTACCATAGAAGGAAGGCGGGGAATAGAAAGAAGGAAGCCAATCTGGGGAAAATAAAGGACACAGAGCAGGAAGTGACCTACTGGACACCTTCTCTGCCTAGAGGAAGCCCCAAAACCCATGAAGGTATACCCCATGCCTCCCTTAGGAGGCTAAAGTCACCAAAAGGCTCATGATCTTCAGACTCCTCCCTCCAAGATTTCTTACCTACCAATATGTCTTTCATAAACCTAATATTTCCTCTAAAAGACCCCTAGAGGCTACAGCCACCCTCCTTCCCTCACCAGAGGGATGTAGATGACACTGCATGATGGAATACGGGAGTCCAGATTCTCCAGCTCCTTCCGAGCAACTTCAGTGAGGAAACTGGGAAGACCCATCAGCCTTCGTTTTTCTAGGAGGGTGGAAGGCATGTAGATATTAAAAGTAAGGTCCCTGGGGCTGGGGTTGTGGCTCAGCGGTAGAGCGCTTGCCTAGCACGCAGGAGGCCCTGGGTTCGATCCTCAGCACCACATAAATATAAGTAAATAAAATAAAGGTATTGTGTCCAACTACAACTAAAAAATAAATATTAAAAAAAAAAAGTAAGGTCCCTGATCTGGCTGCTAGTTGTAGTGACCGTCTGTTGAGAATGATACCCCACTGATGGGCAGGCTTTATTTGGGGGCTAACAGGCCCATTCCCACACCCAACACTCACTCTCATCAATTTCAGGGTCTACATTGGGAAGAACTGTGAAACGATTTTCAGCAAGACTGCCCTCAAAGTCCACCTGTGAAAACAGATAAGGAGCTGTTTCTTATCACCTAGCACCATCTCTGTCCTGCTCTCCTTGGGCCCAATTCCTCCTATAATCCTATCTTAACCCTAACTCTCCAGACACTTTTCCTGATGTTCTGCCGCCTCCTCTGACCATCCAATTTTTTTTTATTTTTTTGTGGTGGTGATGATGGTATTGGAGATTGAGCCCAGAGCCTTGCACACTAAGCTACTTCTCTAGCCACCATTTTTAAAAATTTTATTTTGAGAGAAGGTCTCCCAGGCTGGCCTTGAATTTGTGATCCTTCTGCCTCAGCCTCCCTAAATAGTGGGATTACAGGCCTGTGTCACCACTCCAGGCTCACTATCCATCAGTCACCCAACACAATTCTTCAGTCACCCAACTGACCTCAACATCTCCCATGCTTCCCCATCTGCCATACTACATTCCCTAGACCCCACTCCTTTTCCATTCTCCAGCCCCATTCCTCTTCCCTCTCTCAATATGCCCTCTTTCCTTCCACTCACCACTTTGCCAATGAGGCTGGCAATGTGATGCAGGTCGTCAGAGAATTCTTGGGCAATGTCCCGAAAAAGCTGAATGGACTGGGGCAGGGAGCGGCAAGCATCCCTTAGT